CACTGCATGATCAGACTCTCAAATGGGTCTATGAAAAGATGCGTCGCCCGGGCTCTCAAGATGGCCTACCCAGTGACGTTCTCGTCGAACTTGTTACCCACTATCGCCGAGGCTAATCCTGATGAGCCTGATTATGAAAGCCTACCAGGGGTGGCCCTACCGAGGAAAGCAATCCCGTTGCCGCAACCGGCGCCTGAATGGCTTGAAAACAACAAAACGGCACGTTGTCCGGGATGCTTAGGTAGATCGCGCTTCCACTCTAGGCGTTGCAAAGTTCGCTTTCGTGATTACATCAGGGATACGCTCGGTGATCTTGACAATCCTGAACAGCAACAAGCCCCTGACAAGCCTCAAGTAAAAATCAACCCGAACCCTGAAGTTGTGGAGTTTGAAGAAGAGAGCTTGGACTACGAGCCCAGTCTTCCTGGGTCTCCTGTTCCTGAGGATCTGCAGCACCTGGTGCCCGAACCCTCACAAGCAGCCCAAGACTCTGAGCTCCCTCAGGAGTATCTCCCTGGTGGGGACGTTGAGATGGATCAGGTTGATATGGACGACTACACTGTGCCCATGGATGTTGCTCAGGTCCCGGATGTCCTTGACAGTACGAGCATGCCTCAGTTCATGTTCTCAGTGATTCCGGACCAGAAGCATCACCTGAGTCCTGTTGATTACGGTGAGGTCGGCTTGTTTGCTGCTCAGCTTAAGAGAAAAGCACCCGCTCAGCACAGTAACCCCGATGAGGGGGTAGCCATGCCTTTCGGTGATCGGGAGGTGTGGGTCATCAAGCCCACTTCTGTGGTTGATGATGTCAGTGGCTTGCCTTTGGATCCTGAGAAAACGTGGGTTGGCATGCAGAAAGAGGTGTCTGCTATGCACAACTTGGGTGTCGGCAACGCCCGCACCTATGATGAGATTAAGACCCACTGCCAGGAGACAGGTGCCAAGATCATTAAGTCGCGTTTTGTCTTCACTGACAAGGTTGATGTTGACGATCAGCACATTGTGCGTGCGCGCCTTGTTGCAAAAGACTTTGCTTTCAATCAACCTTCGGCGCTTGACTTGGGCATTGCGAGCCAGACTGCTTCTGTGGAGGCCTTCAAGGCTTTCATCTGTCGTGTTGTCCAGGATACGCTTGTCCTTTGGGGACTTGACGTTTCGACTGCCTTCTTGTATGCCAAGTTGGTTCTTGATACCGTGCTTGAGTTGCCGGGATGCTTTCAGAACCTTGATGGCTCTAAGGTTTACGTCATCCTGGAGAAAGCCATATATGGCTTGAGATCGGCAGGCCTTTCGTGGCAGAAGCATCTTGCTGGACTTCTTGCTGAGTTGGGATTGTTTCCTTCTCTTATTGAACCTACGTTGTACAAAGGGTATTGGGGAGACATCCTTGTGCTTTGTCTTGTGTACGTCGACGACATCTTGCTAGCCACAAGAACGAAAGAGGCAAACCAACAGCTTCTAGACTTCCTCATGGGCCGTCTTAAGGTCAAGTTGACTGGACGCTTGGATGAGGACGGCAGGATCGGATTCCTAGGCCGTGAGATAATCAAGCGTGGCCATGAGATCTTGTTGGCTGTGAAGAAAGAATACGTCGATTCGATCTTCGAGGCTTTTGGGTGGAGCCAGGAGAACCGCAGGAAGATGAAGCCCTGCACTGCACCACCAGACCTCCGATCGATCCTTGACAAGGAAGACCCCGAGAAGCCCTCCGAAGAGCTCTCCCCTGAAGCCGCGAGCCGCTTTAGAAGCACCCTAGGGAAACTAGGCTGGCTTGTGCAAACCAGGGGGGATTTGTGTTATTTTCACTCCATGCTGTCTAGAGGTCAAGCCTGTCCGCGCGCTGTGCATGAGGATTGTATGCGTAAAGTGCTCCGTTGGCTTTTGGAGGTTCCCGATCTTGTTCAGGTCTTTCAGAAGGACTCCAAAGCTCAACCTGGGACTGCAACCCTCGTTGGATTCAGCGACGCTAATTGGGCCTCTGAGCGCTCTACTGGACGGAAGAGCACCAGCGGAGGAGTGATTTACCTGAATGGGAATTGTATCAAGACTTACTCGAGGCTCCAGCCTATCGTAGCACTCTCCAGTGCGGAGTCTGAGCTTTTCGCTATGGTTGAGATGGCGCGCGAGCTTGTAGGATTGGGGCAGCTTTTGGGTCACCTTTTCGAAAGCGTTGCGCAACCCCTATACCTGCCTACGGACAGCTCTTCCGCTCGCCAAGTCAGTATGATGTCCGGCTTCCTGAGAAGGATGCGTCATGTGGACCTTCGTCTTTGCTACTTGCAGGAAGCCCCCTTAGTGCTCAAGCGCCTTTTGCGCTGTTTGAGGGGCCGGTGTGGCCAAAACGGTGAGCCTCTGCTTTTAACGGTAAAGGTGCTCTAGACCAGGCCCGGGGCTCCCGAACTTGAATTTTGCTGGCTTTGCGGCTGGCTTGTAGCGTAGCTTTGCACGCTTTTCTCATGGATGGCGATGACATCAATTTGGAACATGGCAACTTTTGCATGGCACATGACGACAATTTTCTGTTGGAGCATGGCAATTTCCACGACATTTCTGCAGAACTGCACATCCGTGCACACATTCTTGATTTGGTGGACGATGCTTTGCTACTTTCAAACCGCTCTGCCCAATTGTACGGCAGAAGCCTGGCGGTGGCACTCCTGCAGGGAATGGGTCCATGTGAGATGTTGCAAGTGGCCTTCTTTTTGCTACCACGGCATGAAAGCCAGCTGTTGCAAGGTTGGGCTCAGATGCACTACCCAGCACTGCATACGCAATTGCAGGCCGAGCACAGGACACATTGCTCGGCTGGTTGTTCTTCTGTGTAGCCTAACGTACTTGCACACCGTGCAGCAGACACAGTTTTACTACAACAGCAGCAGCCAACAACAACCAAGCCTAGTACAGCCCCGGCTCGCGGTGAGCCGCAGCCCAGGCACAGGCAGGAACGGAATGCTGCACCTGAGGGGCAATAGTAACCATGCTTGCTTTAGCAAACATGCCAGGCCGAGGCGAGCCTTGCTCTGGCCCTCTAGGTGGGCAACCCACAACTCCTTTTCCCAGGGTGCAGTGGTGTGCCACTCCCATGGGCTTGAAATGCTTGCTAGGCTTTCGACCTTGCCTTCGGTCAACTTCCGGTCAGCCTCTCGTGTGGGTAGTGCACAGGGTCTGGCTGCCCTTCTGATAGGAGTCAGTCCTAGGCTGTATGCCCTCAGTGGACCAACGATTCATGCACTAGGCAGGGACAGTCAGCAGCTACATCCGAGTGCATACGATCATTGTCTTAGGTGGCCTTCTTTGCGACTCGACACCTCAGCCGATGCCTCATCTTTGCTGGCTCCGGGGCCTGTGGTGTACCACGGCTGGACCGTCCGGCAGGCTTCACTGCCACCACTGCTTTGCGCTGGAATCACTTGGCCAGGACCTCGGTCTGAAGCTCAATTTGACGGAGACGTTAAGCATCCTTCAGTCCAGCTATGGGACCGAAGCTCCCGGGCCTTCCAGAACAGGAGCCACCGAGAAAAAGGCGGCGCAGAAGTCACGGACCTGCCGTCTCAAGCAGCTACAGCAGCAGCGGCAGCGGCAGTAGCAGCAGTGGCAGCCGGCAGTCAGCCACGAGCTCCAGTATACCTACTGAGGCACTCTTTCAAGACGAGCCTGTGGAGGTTGTTACGAGCGCGGTGGCCAGAGATTGCTCTTTTGAGGCTACGGTTGAAGTTGATGCCGAACAGTCTCCACAACGTGCAGCCTCATGTGAATCCTCGCAGTCGCGCGGAGCACCGAGCAGTGAATTGGCATTCCATGAGGAGCCCGATTCTGAGGAGCTGGAGCTGGAAGCTCAAGCTGACAGCCAGAGTCTGCTATCAAGCGAAACCATGGATCGAGTTAACGTATCCCCCTCACCTGAGGGCTCCGATCCAATCGCAAGTATCAACTTTGATGATCAGGCGGCGACAGCCCAGGCACCCCCAAAGATGGTCCAGGAGACGGCCCCGGCCCAGCCAGTCCCGCCTGTACGGGGCAAGGCTTGTGCAAAGATGCTTGTACGATCAGGGCTGCGGTGCGCATGCCACTACGGGTACAGCTGGGAATGTCCGAACAAAACGAGACAGTAGCTGTCACCTTGTATGGTCCGGTTCGGTTTGCAAGCTGTCGCAATTCCCTGTGCTAGTGTGCTTCCCTGGAACCATAGGCTCAGGGCGGGATGTAGCTGTAGCTGTAGCAGTGGGGCCGGGAAATTCCCGGGCGCATGCCCTGGAGGCCACCTGCCTTAGCATGCTTTCTACATCTGACACACCGATTCTCGTGGCTACTCTCCGGCTTGCACGCGATTGCAGGCTTCATCCTGGGAACGGGGCCCAGTGTCGAGGAGCAGTGCTTACGGTGAACCGAAGCCTAGGTTATGCCATTCTCACTGCCCGACCTCAGGTCAGGAGGAGGGCCGTATTACGGCCAACTCGTCGTGATGCACTCGGCTTGCAACTGCACTCGTTGTCTGGATTTGTACTTGACAACAGCGGTCACGGCCAAACCGAGCTTGTGAACATGTCGAGTGCTCAGCCTGCTTCTTCCTGTCTGCGATGTGCCACGTCTCTCCCTGATGCTTATGATTCTGCTGTCTCGGCTGACCCCGCCTGTTTGCACGTAGTTTTTCCAGTGTCGTTTCATTGGGACGGTGGGGCAATGGGCAAGCACCGTAGTTGGAGCACACGCCAACGCTCTGCAAACCGGCCGGGCAAGAAAGAGCGAGAGGCAATCCAGAGTACTGCTGCGGCGAAGTGCTCGGCTCGTAAGCCGAAAGCTGCTGCAGCACCACCGGTACGGATCCCTCCCCCTCCCCCGGCCCTCCCAGGCGACACACACTCAACCATCAGCTGAAGGCAACCGGCTCGGACCCGCCGTGCACATCACCACTCCATAGGTCTGATCTGTCAAGCTGCTCTGTATCGGGAGCGGATGGTGGGCAGTTGCGGCTTGATGCTCTGAGGGGGCGACTTCACCGCATGTTGGTTAATTACCGCGGAGCTGTTGATCATCCCACCTTTGTGACTATGCAGCCGCTGCCGTGTACAGCTCAGCAGGAAGCGCCTAGCTCTGCCTCCTTCTCTGCTAGTGTATCTGCTCCTTACCCCAGGCCTCTGCCAGGAGTAGCTGCCAAAGAGCATGCATCGGCGAATGCCAATTTTCGCGACCCGCTAGAGAATCCATCCTATAGAGAGCACCGACCGGACACCGCATCGCGGGGCGCGCATTGGGACTATATGGAGGGCTGCCATCTGTCTCTCATTTACTGTGTCTTCAAGAGCTACATACTGCTGATCTCGCTGTGTGCTCTCGCTGCTGCATTCGCTTATGTATCCTGGCAAACTGCACGAGGGGCCCTGGCCCAGCGTGCCGTGGGACGAAGGTGTTCAGGGCCGCGGTGGCTGCCGCGACTTATCCTTTGCTCTCTAGCTGCTGCAACAACTATTACGGCTACATGGCTACCTCAGATCGTTTGCTGGCTGAGCCGACCTGGCACTCGACTATCGCATCAACGCCGGCGTCGCACACGCAAGGCTGCCTGCATCCTGCTGCTGTACTGGCTAGGGGTCCTGTATTCCCCTGAGGCAATTGAACACCATCGGCATCCGCCCGAGACCGGGACGCCACTGTCTTCTCTGCCTCAGCCTCTGCCTCGCCGAGCCAGGCTGCATAGGATCTACCGTGGCTATTTTGACATCCAGCGCATTTGTGGTGCACCCAGCTGTGCCGCACTGCTCCTATTCACTCTTCGGCGTGCCCTCGGGGCACTTCCGAGCATCATCGTCACCGCCCTTGGAGGCTCACGGGATTACTCCCATACCGCCTCGAAGACTCAGAGCACTATGCACGGTCCCAAGTCCGTGAGAGGTCGACCATTTCCGTACCATTATGGACGGCACATCAGCAAACTGTTGCTTGTGCTTTGTATCATGGTCCAATTCACCATGACCTCTGGGGTGAGGGTTTGCGCCTCTAGTACCCGCTACGCGCCAGGAGCGTCCTCGATGCTTCCGTCAACTTCCCAGTCTGCAGGGGACGTTAAACACGGGGATGGGGTAGCAAATGTTTCAGGCAAATGGCAACCAGCGCGCCAACGCGCCTACCGACGAGCACTCGCCCGGGCCCAGAAAAGCCCGGCGGGCGGGGTCATGTACAGAGGTCACTGGCTAACTGGAAGAGCCGATCTTAAGGATCGAGCTGACACCAAGGTTTCCCACACAGCCACGGAGGCCGGACCCACCATCGATGTACTTAGCTGGAACTGTGGAGGCCTCACCTCGGCCAGGTATGCCGAGCTAAAGCAGTGGCTCCACATGCAGACCCCACAGGCACGTCCAGGGATCACCATCATCCAGGAGACATTCTGGAAAAGCTCCAGTGAGTGGGAGGACGAACTGTTCTCCTATGTACACTCAGGCACGAACCGCAATAAAGAGGGGGGCTTGTTGGTGATAATATCCAAGCAAGTGTGCCAATCGAACCTTATCAGGTATGATGAAATTCAGCCGGGCCGCCTTCTCCACGTCAGGCTGGCAACGGAGCCGTGTACCAACTTGCTAGCAGTCTACCAACACTCATGGAGAAGTGACCTCAGCACTGCATCAAAAGAGCTGCTGCTCTCTAAGCGTGCCACGGTTTGGCGCAGGATTCAGCAATTTGTGCATGGGACCTCTGCCCGGTCCCCACTTGTGTTGGCAGGTGACTTCAACTGCCCTATCACTGAATGTCTGCCTTTTGTTGGCAAGGGCTACCGTCGCAACGTCCGTGCGGGGCACCGTGAACTTCCGCCCATGGCAGCCGACTCGGATGACTTTCTTGATATCTTGAAGAATGAGGACTTGCAAGTACTCAATAGCTTTGGCAAGTCGGGCCTGGCCTGCAGCACATACATCAACGCGTCGCAAAAGCCTGTCCAGGGATCGCAGATCGACTTTATCATCATGCGCCGATCTCAGGCGGATGACGGCAGTCGCTGTGCCCAGCTTCTGCGAGACTTCCCGCTTCTCCCCATTGAGGGCATGTGGCATTACCCACTGCGGGCACGCTTGCCGTGCCCTCGGTTGCCACGACACCAAATGCGGGGACAACGCCTCACCCCTGACTCTGCTTCACTGGCCTTGAACCAACAGCCTGTCAAGGCACAGCAGTTCCAACAGTTGGTGGCGCAGGCACTTGACCAGTGTGTCGACATGGAAGGAATCAACACTGCACTTACTCAGTCCTGGTCCCAGGTCTTCGGGCCCGTTCGGCGACGGCGTACGGTCCATGCCAAGGACTGTTGTCTTGCGAATATGTGGCACCATAGAACCAGAGCCACACAAGCTAGGTCGTGGATGGCCCGATGGCATCACATCTCCCGATACCAGGCCATTCGCCGCACTATTCAGCAGCGTGTGCGGGCTGCCAAACAAGCCAGGCTTCAGCAACAACTTCTTGATGCTGAGAGTGCGAGCACCCGAGGAAACCCCGGAGCATTGTATCAAATCATTCGTCGCATTGCACCGAAGCTCCGACGGAGGAAACTGCAGCTGAGAGACGAGCATGGCCGACTGCTTGGCCCCCGAAAGGAGGCGGAACACATACTTGCTCACTACTCGGAGGTATTTGCTTCAGCTTCTGCCACGGAGGACTCCTGGCTGACGCAGCCATTCCACTTCGAGGAAATGGAATTCCAGGCCGCTCTTTCTGAACTTCCGTTGCATAAAGCCTTGCCTGCCCACTGTGCCCCTGCCCCACTCTGGCGCTGGTGTGCTGATACAGTCAGCTCGTGCACGGCTCGGCTCTTGAAGTGTGGCTTGCAAGCAGGATCGTTTAGGCAGCAGTGGCCACTTGAATGGGCGATCTCATTTCTGTGTCTCTTACCCAAAACAGATCAGAAACTTGACGCTGTGACCAAGCTCCGCCCCATCTCCTTATTGCATCCTCTTGGTAAATCTTTCGCTGGCATGCTCATGTACCGGGTTAGGGACACCATCGCGCACAAGCTGGCGGACACTCCACAATTTGCCTACTTAGTAGGGCGTTCAACAGCGGATGCGGTTGATCGGGCTGTGTGGCACATCCACCAGACTAGGCAACGGGTCGGTCAACAGTACACGATCCACCACAGGCGTGCGGGTATACCCCAGCACGAGATCCGCGGCAGCCTTACTTTGAGCATTGACTTACGTAGGGCCTTCGATTCCATCGACCGGTGTCTTATCGCTAAGTCGTTGGAGTGGGCTGGCGTGCCCACTTCTCTGGTCGAGGTCATTGTCGGCATACACGAAGCCATGCGTGTTAGCTATGCTTCTTGCTCGGGAGAGGCCCTGTCCACCGCGACAGGACGCGGCCTCCGACAAGGATGCCGTTTGGCCCCTATCATTTGGGCCTGCATAACTGGCTATCTGATGTCCAAACCAGGCCCGTTGCTCGATCAAGGAGAGCTACGTCCCCTGCTCACTCTGTTCGCAGATGACACTCTGGGCCAATGGGAGATACAATGCAAAGAGCACCTGTCCATGGCATTGACCCAGGTTGCCTTGTTACTCGACTTCTTGAAGGCACACAACCTGTGTGCCAATACAGAGAAATCGGTGATCCTCATCAAGCTGGCAGGTGCCAAGCATGTGTCGCTCTGGAACAAGCACACAACGCATGACCCCGAGCTGGGACTGTGCGCCAGAATTCCGTGTCAGGGTCATCATGTACTGCTCCCTGTCAAGTCCAAGCACAAATACCTAGGAGTGATGTTGTCTTATAACCATTTGGAACGCGAGACGGCTGCATATCGAACACGTTGCGCCCAGGCCAGTTTCGCGAGGATCCAGGTGGCCACTAGTAGACTTTCTTTGCGCTGCAGGGTTCGCTTGTGGAGGGCAGTGGTGTGGACCACGATGTGCTACGGCATTGATTGCACAGGCCTCGACATCGTTGGACGCCGTCAGCTTTATGCCACGGCAGTGCGACACTTGAGGGCTATGGCCAACTCGCCGTCTCACATCAGCAGGGAAACCACCTCGGACCTTCTGCTCAGGCTGGAGCTGCCACACCCTGCGGATATGCTGCTTGACAAGACAAAGGCCAGACATGAACGCACTAGTCAATCACAGGTCTTCGCATTGCAGCCACAGGGCCTGACACAGGTTTGGGATGCTGTTCTGAGCTCACTTGAAGTGCCAGGTAGGAAGTCCCCTGCTCCCTCACAACCAGCTGTTGCGGTGACACCGCCGGCTGAGTTGTCTGCTGTGACACAGGAGGACAATTGCCCACCTGAGCCTGCAGCTGAGAATGGACCGGAGGACCCGGTAGCAGTGCTACACGCAACACCTGCTGAGGTCACGACACCCACTGAGACGATACCTCCGGCTCCGATTGAAACGGGTGCCCATGCTGACCTGGTGTGTCCTGTCTGTGACTACCAAGCTGCTGACACCACGGCCTTGAGGTACCATATGACCTCGATCCACGGCCTTTCTGAGAGGGAGCTTGCCATGGCCACAGCTGCACCGTTCAAGTTCGAAGCACATTCGTACGCGGGCATGCCCACTTGCAAACACTGTCGTAAGTCCTTCTCTGGCATACCTCAGTTTCGTAAACATATAGAGGCCCAAGCATGCCCTGTCCTGCACGGATACACGAACAATAGCAGGGATTACGGACAGCATCCGCCGCTCCCGAAAGAAGCGAGCACAGAAAGCACTCCGCTCAGGGACAGGCCGAGCACGCTCCAACATCTCAGCGAGGGGGGCTGGTTGCAATTGGCTCAATCCCCAGGATTTCGAGAAGTCGCACTGGCACACTGCCCGCTTTGTCACCTTTGGGTGGCCAACAGTAGCGGTCAAGTTAAGAAGCATATGCGCACAAAACATGGGGACCAACAGGACATGATTCAAGAGGTCATTGAAGTCTGTCGTAAGTCGTCCTACTTTGTCCAATCCCCGTGCCAATTGTGTGGCATCGCTTGGAAGGGGCCGCGAATCCGTCACCGAGAGGCCTGTACTGTGCTATTTGCTGCGCGGCTGCTGGCTGCTCACCACGGCTATGTTTTCCGAGATGAGCATGGAACCCGAGCCATCGCCTCTGATGGAGTTCGAGTCGGTGTTCAACCAACCGCTGCCGAGCCCGTTCCCGTCCTTCCGCCACCCGCCGTCGACACACCCGATGCCGCCAAAGCGAAGAGGGGCTCCGCTAAGCCAAAACCAGAGCCAAAAGCTGAAGCATCAGGGCAAGGGTCAAGGAGGGCACGGCGGATATTGGGGAAAGGGCCCGAACAAGGGCAAAGGAAAGGGCACTCATCAGACACCGTGGCAGTCGTCTCAGGATCCCTCGTGGCAGCTGGCACCAACGTCGTGGCATCCGAGCTATCCGAGCTACCAAGGCTATCAGGGCTACTCGGACATGTATGTGACACAGCAGGAGATCCAGCTGCTTCGGCAGCTGCTGGTGCGACACGAGTGGGAGCTAGCAGCTCTTCGTGTGGATCGAGGGTTCGTTCTCCACATGAGGTCGGGCCCGGACGGCATCCTGAGAGAGGTGTTTCAAGCGAGCAAGCTTTGGAACGAGGCGAAGACCCAGGGTACCCTTCAGAATCTTACATTGCGCCAGGCTCTCCTCATGAAGGTCTTCACTGTCCTGAAGGATCGAATGGAGCATATGAACGAGGGCCACATCGCCACAGCCCGCAAGCACGGTTGGCTCAGCCGGGACGGCATGCAATGGCAGTATCTGAAGTGGTCACAGACTCACGAGAGCCTCATCCCGGAGGATCCAGTTCGACAGGTCCCGCACGACTCCCTGGTGCAGCACATCACGTCGATCCTTCGAGCATTGAACATGGACCACATGATCCACCGCTTTGCAGCGACTCGCAAGCTGACAGAGAATGTGGAGAACACGATGCCATTCCTGTTGCAGATCTCCCTTCAGGGCCAGACATCGCACCAACTGTTTCAGGCTCTTCAGGACTTGTGCGGAGCGGGATGTCTTCAGCTTATCGGCATGACAATGCGTCGCGAGCGACTGGAATTGCAACCCATGGCCAAAAAGCTGAATTGGTGAGTACGGCAGGGCAGTGCGTAGGAGGCTCCTCCCCAGTGGACTTCCCCTCTCCGGTGGCTCCGGGTGGGCGCCACACTCAGATTGAGGCAGATGCGGTACGCTCTAAAGTAAAAACTTGGAAGCTTCTCAATCAAGGTCGCAACAGCTGTTATGCCAATTCCTTACTTTTGAGCCTTGTATGGAGTGAAACCTTTCTCGGATGCCAACTCTTCGAAGGTCCTCTGGGATCATCGCTGCGATCCTTGGTTCAGGCTGGCCGGGCAGTTGACGTTTGGTCTGTGCTGCCCTGGATTAGTGCCACCCGTACCTGGCGGGCACCTAGGAGGCAGCATGACATTGCGGAGTTTTTGCTCTACATGCGTCCACAGCTCAATGCTTCCTTGATCGACGGTTCGTGGGGGACTGCGGGGTCCGCGCCTCATCGTGGCTTGGAGGTTGTGGATGATGGCCACACGTGGCCTATGCTGCTCGCAAAGCCGCTGATGATCCCACACCGTGTTCGGAGTGCTGCTTACAAGACTTGCTATCGTGCTGGCATCAACAGGCGGAACCACAGGCTCTCCTGAAGCCGCCAAAGTTTTGTGCGATTCAAGTGGGCCGTTTTGACAGCACGAATGATGGAGCTTGCATTAAGACCGACTTCAAGCTTTGCCTGGAGCCCTTAGTGCACATTCCTGCTTTTCGCGACAATCTACAAGATGTGTACTTCGTTAAGTACTTTGTGAGAGCTTGTGCAGTTCATCACGGTCCTACACCCGACAGCGGTCACTATCGCTCAATTTTGATGCCACCGAATGGCGTGCTTGCGCAGTCCTTCTACACTGATGATAACGCCACGGCTCGCAAAGTAAAGTCCTCGGAGCTTGTGGGGATCCAGCAAAACGCATATATCATTTTCTTGCAGCGCGCCGACTGAAAACCAGTCACGCTTTTTGCTTAGTTGTGGAGTTGCTGTTACACAAACGTTGCTTCTCCTTTAGTCTTCACTCGTCAAACTAGTTGTACAGTCTTAGTTGTCGGACCTGCTTGGCTGTACGCAGCGGGGTCCTTAGCCTTTGGGAAGATCCAACAATGATCTGCAGCCCAGTAGCTGCCGCGGCATTAGAGTAATACACTCTGATACCGATGCCCTTCGCTTAATCGCTCTCGAGCGATTGCGCATCAAAGTCAAAAAAAGCTACTTGCAGGATAAGGTTGAGAACGGCGAGATCCTGGTTACACACGTCCCAGGAACGGATAACGTCGCCGACTTGCAAACAAAGAACTTGAGTGTCGCGCAAACTTGGTATCATATAGGACAGTTGTGTCTTGAGGAACGTCTCACCCGTAGTGACTATCTTCGAGGTGATGCGCCCCCGGTCCGTTGCCTTGTGTTTGCCGCGTTCAAAGGTCTGTTTTCTGCAAGCGTCGATGATCCTTGGAGTGTGTTGGTTGGTCGTTGTCGGTTGCAGACACCGCATTACATTGTGATGGTCGAGTTCTGCACCTCTGGAGAAGCCTGGTTGACTAAGCTTGCTAGCCATTATGGCATCCATGCTATTCCCGTGACGGAAGAAACGGATGGTACTCTCCCAGAGACCATCGAGCTCATTGAGCACGCCCTTCGTGCGGCACACCGTCGGAACATGCATGTTGTTGTGTGGGCCTCGACGCCCTGTACCGGTGGTTCGCCCTGGCAGCGCTACCACCAAGCTCGATCTGCAGATCACTATGATGAAAGGATGAAAGGACTTTTCACAGTCCACCGAAAGCTCTGGAAGAGCTTCTTGAAGCTAGTCAACACATCTGATTCGGCAACTTGGGTCATTGAATGGCTGCAACGTTGTGCTTACTGGGGATGGTCCGCTACGAAGTCATTCCTTAAGATCAATCCGCATGAGACCGCTCTTGTGCATGGCTGCGCCTGCGGTATGGTTGGAATGGACGCACTTCCTGTGAAGAAGGTTTGGAGGTTGTGCTCGAACAGTCATGTTCTCATTCACTGCATGGATAAATTAAAGTGCCCTGGAAACCACGAGCATAGTAAGATGTTCGTTCTGAAGAACACCCAGCACTACCCCGAAGCTTTTGCTCACACAGCTCTTAGGGCTTTGAGTGCTTGGTAGGTGCTGACGCCTCTTTGTACAGCCGCAGCCGTTTTTGGAAGAGCCATAAAACTATCGTGGACCGTGAGAAGATCTACGAGCCCAATACGCAACAGCAGCCACTGGACCGGTACTTTTTCTCGACGACAGGTTCATGAGGGGGAGTTGATTTTCAATCCTGGCTCAAGTCTGGCTCGAGCCCTGCTTTCAGAGGTGGGTGTTCTGCGTAGGGAGCGTAGCTGTTTTCAACTGAGCCTCTGGGCCTTAACTGTCGTTGGGGCAACAGGACTCAAACAGGAATCCCAGCTTATCCTTTCGCGAGCCATACTTGTGCAGTGCTGGCATTTTGCCAGTCACTTTCCAGCGTGCAGGTGCCGGCCCTCGCCTCCAGGGCTGAGGGCTGTTCACTCGCCTCAGGGGCTGAGAGAACAGTCATGGCAGGAGGTAGGTACTATGTGTGCAAAACCTGTGGTCCTGCAAGCTGGATTTATGCCTCTAAAGTGCAGAAGTTTGCGAAGTGCAGTTGGTGTGGCAAGCCTTGGCCCGCTGATGTACCGCAGGCACCTTGGAGAGAACCTAGCAGGCCGCGACCTCGAACTCGGCAGCCGAAGCCAGCTAAGCTAGCAAGCTGCCTTCAGAAGGTGTGGTCCACCTTGCCTGCAGATGTGTGTTTGCAGTTTGAGCAGGCTGGCTTTAAAGTGCCGGCCCCGAAGCAGGAAGATGTTGACCTACTCAGCCTTTTGCAGCGCAACCGTGATGATCTCCCCCAGGAAGTCCTGGATGCTCTGCCAGCAGCACCGGTCCCTAACCCAGTGCAGGAAGGCAAGGCTGCAGGTGTTGAGTGGCGCAACTCCGTCGGTAAGTTGCGCGACCTTGGCCAGCGTAAGTTGAAGCTGCAAGAAGACATTGACCTGGCCAAGGCCAATCTGAGGGCCCTGCTGACAAAGATGCAGGACTTGCAAGCTTCCATCCAGGAAGCACAGACTGAGGTCAACAAAGCCACTCAGGATTATGAAGCTAAGGTTCTCACACAGTGCGCAGAAGAGGCCAGTCATGGAGTAGATTCTGTGTTGCAGGCCCTGGGTATCGAGGAGGACACCCTCACTGAGGCCCAAAAGCGCAGTATCGCTGCTCTGAAGAAGGACAATGCTGATGAGGCCAAGCGCCGCAAGACCGAGCAGCAGGATCGTTTCCCGCCTGGATTGCTCCCGAAGTCTACGGCACCCCCGGCCGCCGAACCCCAGCAAAACGCCGCAGACGCTAAGGACTTGAACAGCCAGTCCGGCAAGGCGCGCAGTCGCTCGCCCAAGCGCGGTGACAAGGGTGACGAGCTTTAGGATCCAGGTGGGGGGTTGCGCGGGGGCCCCGGGTTTTGTCTTCCGGTTCTTTCTCTGAGTGAGGTTTTGCGTGATCTGGAAGTTTCGGAGCCAAGCGCAAGCCCTGACGCGTCAAACACCTTTTTCAAGTGCTGGCACTGTGGCCTCCCTTTCGTGCCAAATGCCGTGGGAGTTCAGTTTTGCATTTGCAGTGCCGAAATCCATGTCAATTACGCATCAAAACATGCTCAGGCCAGCATTTGCAGTGCTGACGTGGGCCTGGCCGTAGCCTCACCACCGGGTTCGAGGCTCGGATCTCCCTTGCAAGACCAGCCAGCCCAGCTCGAGGATGGGTTTGTTTTCCCCAGGACTGTGTCCCGTCCCTTTTGGCCATCCCCTAGCTGTGCCCTGACTGGCCCAAAGTTTTTCCATCCCGCCATGTTTCATTCGCCGGAGGAGGGCGCCTCTTCGGAACCTAAGGTTGTGAAGAAACCATTGGTCAGGGGACCGATCATGTCTTTCTTGGAAGAGCATGGTTCCCGCTTTGACCATGCTGCGCCAACCCCACAGGATGCTGAACCTTTTCCTGGCCCACAAGGCTCACCGTCCCCTGCAGTGTGCAAGGTTGGGAAGAGCCTTGGTCGGTCAGGCTGGGGCTCTCTTCTCAACCTGAGTGCATATAAAGCCCTGCATCCGGACTGGCACCATGAGCCTGACCTATTGCGCCTCGCCGAAGGGCTTGAGGAGCAGAGCCAGGAGGGCACCCTTGAATACTGGACTCTTTTCAGGTCCCTGGAGGCCACCGAGGCCCGTGATAATAGCCTTGAAACCTGGGCTCGCATCGCCAGAGCTTCGGAGGACCTGGTGCACTCCACTTCCAGAGGCCGGGCCCGTACCTTTACTTTCGTTTCGGCCAATGTGACCTCCTGGAGACCAGAGCTCAGGCAGTGGTTGGTTTCACTGCAGTGTGACGTAGCCCTGATTCAGGAGCACCACCTCTCTGAAAAGGCCTTTCATGCTGAATCGGTTGCCCTAGCTAAGGCAGGCTATCATTTGCATGGCCAGCATTCTCCCGCCCGTAAGCGCGAAATTGGAGGTGTGATGGTCTGTGTCAAGGCTCATTTGCAAGCCAGGCACGTTCATACCTTTCAAGATCCTGAAACGGGCTGTGGCTTTGTTGCGATTGCTGTCCGGGTGACCGGCTTCGACTTAGCCCTCATCTCTTTGTATCTCGAGTCAGGTAGTTCCTTCGAAGGCCGGACCAACACAGTGGTCCTTTCCCATCTGTATGGCGTGCTGGCCTCGCTCAAATGCCCCTGGTGTGTGGTGGGGGACTGGAACATAGATTCCTGTGAGGTCCTCGCCACCAGGCTTGAGGACCTCACCAGGGGCCGGCTCCTTGGAACAGGAATGCCTACGGCTGGCACCGCAGCAGAGCTAGATTATGCACTGGTCCACCCGCGACTAGCCTCACATGTCTCGCTTGAGCTTGTTTGGGATGTCCCTTTCAAACCGCACGCCGCTCTGATGTGTACCCTTCCCCTCAAGCCGCTGCAGGACCTGCAACCAAACCTGAGGACCCTGGCTGACTCCTTTGACCCCATCACAGATGACCAGCGCCTTTTGACACCGACAGTTGTCTCCCCGCAGCAGGTCGTTTTGCTTGAGATTGAAGCAAGTGACCCCGTGTCTCTTGCGTTTGCGGAGTTCTCTGCCACAGCTGAGGCGTCTGGTCTGTTGGGAAAGAATACAGGCAGGGGGGTTCACCTGCCCACGGTCCGCCAGCCGACAGTGTCACAGCCAGCCCAGGATTACCAGTGGTTTGGGCAAGAACACGCGGTCTGGACTCAGCTTGCGACTAGGTTCAAGGCCGGGGGTCCTAGCCAGGTAGTCTTGCTGCTGCTTTCCAATCTTGCTCCCGAGCATAAGCAGTGGGTAACGGAAGTTGAGGCTGCCGTTTCTAACCAACGTGATCTCACGATCTTTGTCTCGCGAGCTGAGACGCAAGCCAAAGCTGCCATGCAAGCCCAGCAAAAGGAACAGGCCAATTCTTATCAAGCTTGGCTGTCGGGGGCTCTGTCGGCAGGTATGGGGCCAGTGTACCGAGCTCTTAAAAGCCATGAACAAACTCTTGCTCGGCCCTTTAGAGATCAGTCAGCTCTGGCCCGAGCCTATTGTCGCATGGAATTCTGGAGCCACATTTGGGATGCGACAATTGTTCCCCCTCAAGTCCAATTTTCTGCAGAGCGCCTCGCCTTGAGGGCTGAGGCCTCGCAGCAGGCACAGGACCTTCCATCATTGGCTTGGGAACAGGTCAAGAAAGTGTGCTTGGCCACAGGTAATAAGAAAGGCGGCCTCGACGGTTGGTCGTACCGGGCTTTGCGAAATCTCCCTGACTTCTGCTATAAGCAGCTTGCCGAGCTTTTCTCCCGGGTTGAGGCGGACCTCACCTTGCCGCTTCAAATGCTAACGGTCCAAGTAGCCCTCCTGGCAAAAACCCCTGAGAAAGAGCGCCC